AAAAAAAAATGTAAAATAGTTGTTCATTCAAGTTATACATCACATACATTGATCATTTGACGAAAGCCACCGGAAATCAAATAGACATTTGTATTCTTAGACTTCAGCTTCTTGATCAACTCCTCTATGCCAGGAGAAAGTCTGCAGGCCAAAAAGCAGAGTAATAAAAGACAGGATAGATAAATAAATAAAATAAAATATGAAACAAGAAAAAAGATATTAAATATCATAGCTACAAATTTTTTTCTCACTGAAATCTGATAACTATAAAATAATGGAGCTAAAGTGAATCTTAATTTGCTGGGTATTGGGTAGCCCAACAAATTTCAAAACACAAGGGGGATGCTAAATTTACTCAAATATTTAGAAGTTTGTATCAAGAGCATTATAAGTTTTGATTCCATAATGCTTTTTTAAAAAATGCAACAGATTCTACTTCACATTACTCATGGACCTCCTCTGTAAATGAACAAACCAACATATAATTAACACAATAAGAATGAAAATCATACCTTGGGGGCCTCTTAAGAAAATCCTGGACTTGGGATAGGGAAGGTTTAAACAAAGACAATCTAGCAGCCAAGGCCTCCTCAAAGGGAACTGAACCACCCATTGCTCTATCATTACAAAATGAAATAAAAAACTTAAAACCCAATAACAAAAATCAAATGGAAGAACTTACAAGGAACATGGCAACCTACCTAGCAGTCCATTCTGCAACAGCTTTTCCAGCTCCACAGAATTCTGCAAGTTCATCAATGCCCTCATCCACACACACCGTGCTATCGACATCGAAGCATACAGCATCAGCATTTTTCCACAGCTCAAGAACCTCTAAATTATTTTGATGGCAATCGTCAATAACAGCAATTATTATTGTAAACCATTGAAAAAAATAAAGTTAAATCTTTTAAAGATTAAATTCTTCTTAGTTGAAATGCTAAATATATAGAAAAGTTGAGACCTAACAGGAGCCTTCCATTCTTTGAACATCAATCTAAACTCCAATCCCCAGAGTTCCTTTCCTCTTGATCAGCTCCTCAAGTCCCAAATTCTACCAAGTTAAGTTCCATCAATGTTTAAGTATTCATCATTCAACTCCATATGATTTAAATACAATTCTAATCATTTAGTAAATATCCAAGTCTAGATTTTGTTTCTTCAACATCAGAGCTTTAACAAATAAATTAAAAAACTTCAGATATAGATTATGACCTTTGGAAGGCAATGTGTTGTCAGAGTGGCCTGTAGGCCAGGCATCTAATGGCTGAACAGAAGACAAAGCCAAATTCAACGACCTGGGATGGTTCATCATCATCCGAACTTCACCTCTATAAAAGGTTCTCTGTAACTGAAGGGGATTTCCAGGGAGAAAAGTAGAGTGGTTCCTTCTAGATCGAGCACAAACCCGGATGACCCGTGATATTGCTAGGCCCTCCATCAATCAATCTATTTCCAAAAAATAAAGTAATCCCACAATCTACTTTAGCAGCAACTCGAATTTTCTAATACCACAAGCCAGTGCAATCTATATAACCCAATAAACTACTAAACTAGCTCTACCAGCAGAAAATTTTTCTCCATCTACAAAATCAAAATCACCAATAAAGCAATCATAGATCAAACAATTATTACACAAACCTTTATTAGCACTGCATTTCCATAGATAATTCAGGTTATATACAATGTGAAAACCATAGAAACGTGAAATGATATCAAAGGCGGGAAATCTAGATCCAATAGGGGTGATCTATCAAGCCGCATGCCCCAATTTAAGTCGTTACTTGGCCTTCCTCACATTTTTCCCAGCAACCAAACAACAAGAAAACAGAGAGATTAATGTCACCATGAATGTAGGAGAAGAGAAGGAAATGCCGTGGGAGAACGAATACATAGAGGAAGCAAGGAAGCTTACCGTCGTAGGGGGCGGTCTCCGTTTCCTCCCTGCTTTGCTCCGTTCGGATCTTTGTGTTTTGGGAGATTCTTCCGAAATCTCTGTGCTCGGCTGATTCTACGGGCAAGCGGGGTTGGTGGCGTTTATTTGTGAAGGTTAAATGCTAATTTTGGTCCCTCAACTTTAGTGAGTTATATATTTTTGGTCCTTTAACAATTTTTTACATTTTTTTATCTCTCAATTCTAAAAAATGCACAACTTTAATTCTTCCGTCAATTTGGATCATTAACTCTACGTATGTGGCATTTTTTATATTTCTTTTATGACATGGTGAAAACAATTTTAAAAAGTATTGATTTGAACATTTTTTTAATGACATGTCAACGCATCTTATTAACCAAATTTGATTAGTATTTATATTTTTAATAAAAAAATTAAAAAACTACAAATTTACCTTAATACTCTTGTCTCCCGTTCTTTCTTGATCCATCTTCTTCTCCTCTTTTGATCCATCTTCTTCCTTTTTTTTTTTCTTTTTCTTTCTTCCTCTTCTTCTTTTGTGTTGTTGGGTTCTCTCAAACCCAACTGATCTAGGTTCAAGGCATGGCTTTAAAACCCGACCCTGACTGATCGGTTGAACCGGTTGAATCGGATCCGGGATTAAAAACGAGCCGGTTTCGTGCATTGGCCCGTCTTGTAAGTTGGCCCGTGTAAGCCCGCCAGACTCGCCAGACTCGTTCCAAACTCCCAGCCCATCCCACCCGCCGAGGCATCCCTCTCCCTCATCCCTGCTCCATCCCCGAGAGTTCATCGGCATCTGACCACAGCAGTCACCACCTCATCACCTCCGGCACAGCAGCCTGATCTCCCTGCTCCACTTCCGTCAAGATCTCACCACTAGTCACCGCCTCATCTAGTCATCTCCTCTGCTGAACAGAAGCAACAAAGCTGCCCGACCGGCTCTTGACGACCACATGAATCAAATGGCGGATCTCGTTCAGAAGCTCTCTTCAGAGCTCCGCTGGGGCCTCCGACCAGCCTACAACAATTTCATGGGATTCTTCCATGCAACCGATTGGAAGGTAATGCATCCACTCCCTCCATCTTGCTATTTCTGTTTGGCTGTCGAGAAAACTCAAGAAATGGAAGAAATTCTAATTTTCTTTTGTTGTTTTGTTAGAGTAGAGAATGATTTTGAATATATAGATCTGAGATTTATAATGCATGTATGTTTGTTACTCATTAGATCCGTTGTGTTATCTTTTAGAGTAGCGTTGCATGTTTGTTCAATGCTGTACCCAGTGTTGTCAAACTCGAGTTTTATATCGTAATGTATGGATTCCGAGTAAAATCTACTTCAAAATCGGATTTTCATAAAATCGGATGATAAAAATGTAAAAGCACGATTTTTTCGTAAAATCATTTGAAATCTCGATTTTACTTTCACAAAAATTGAAGAAGAGATTTCCAGAAATTTGCCGCAGGGGAGGGAAAGATTTTGGACTGCAGCGGTGCCGGCATGCCGCTGCTCACTGCCACTGCTCACATCTCAGGCACTGGCAGGATGGAAATCTATTTGGTGACCCAAATCATGCGGAGCTAGCCTTATATAGTAGGATTTGGTTGCTGCTGCTCACTGCTCAAGCAAAGAAAGATAAAATTTGTTGCCAGAAAAACGAGTAGATAAGGATTAGGAAGCCAGCTTGAATGGAGAAAAATGGTAGAAAGAGAAAGAAGATGATAAGGCGAAGAAGGTGAAACAATGGAGGGGTACTCTTTTTAGTGGATAGTATGTTGACACGTGATTGGTGTTGTTTTTTCTTTTTTGGGCAATGTTAGCTGCTAGGGGCACTCGCCTCCTGCACTCTCCAACCAAAACATGCTTTTTTATTGGGCCACCTAAGCTTACTTCCATGAAATGATGACCTTTGT